GACGTTGGCGGGTAGGACACCCTTCTGTCAGCTTGGACGCTGTCTAACATGCGGCAGCTCTATTCGGATACCAGCCGCCTTTTGTGGTGTATACGGGATGAGGCCCTCTTACCATCGCGTGCCATACGAAGGCGCGCTTAACACTCTCGAGGGACAAGATTCTATACCATCAGTGTTCGGCCCTTTCTCGAATAGTCTCAGCGGTATCAAGATGTTTATGAAATCCGTTATCGACCTCAAGCCGTGGAGGAAGGACCCGTTGGCTATCCGCAAACCATGGGATGAAGAAGCTTACAAGCTGTCAGAACATGGCGAAGGGAAGAGGCTTTGCTTTGGTATCATGCGGCATGACGGCAATATTATGCCCCACCCACCTATTCTGCGGGGATTGAAGATGATGAAAGATGCTTTGGTGAACGCTGGTCATACCGGTCTGTGCTAATAGGCTTCGGGCTTCGCGGCATGGCTCATGGTGCTTGCATACCAGTCATAGACTGGCAACCCATTAATCACAAAGAGATGAACGACACGGTCGTGAGTCCTATTTGATCCGTGCCATTGCCTGATGTACTGAGTAACCCGGGTCAGACGGCTATCTGGGGCTCAGCTGCTCGAGAAGACTTCCGCGTAACGACACTCGCAACCCAGGAGCCAATAATCGCCACAATGCTCCCACCAGAGTCGGAAACCTTCTCCGAAATGGTAGTAGACCCTCGTTATCCCGAAGATGGTATGACTTCTTTCCAACTGTGGCAGCTTCACAAGCGGAAGATCGAGCTGCGTAAGGAGTACTTGGACCATTGGGAGAAGACGAATCTCGAGACGGGTACAGGAAGACCTGTGGATGCGGTCATTGCTCCTGTTGGACCTTACGTCGCCCCCCCGCACGGGAGAAATAGGTGACTAAATACGATGGGAGATCGAAATTTTGGTACTGACATCTGAGGGCGCAGACCTTCGGGGTACACTAGAGTATACAATCTTTTGGACTACCCGGTGATTGTACTGCCTGTATCACAAGTCGACCAAGAGCTGGATGCCAAAGCGCCTCCCCATGAATACCTTAACGACGCTGACATGGAATTCCACGAATGGTGTAAGCCCCCATTCATTCTCAACAAGCCCCGCATAATATCTCAACTGCATATATAGATGACCCTGCGATGTTCCGCGACGCCCCAATAGCATTGCAACTCATAGGCAGGACACTAGAGGAGGAGGCCCTCATTGCCATGGCAGAAATCGTTGACGCAGCTCTGAAAGCCTGAGAGACAGGCAACCTTGAGACCTGCGTATCTCTTTGTGTGTATGAAAGCTTTATAGATTACATCTGGCTACGGGTTGTATACCAGAAAGCTCTTTCTACAGTTGTTCGTTGACGAAGATACCCGCGGCGCCCATACCGCTTCCGACACACATGCTGGTACACAGCAGTTGGCCTTGTCTTCTCTTCAACTCCGCCAGACCTGTGACAAGTTGACGTGCACCGGCTAGACACACTCATGTTAGTGATGCCTTCTACAAGTAATTGAAGACATACTCATGCCCAGAGGGTGCGTCAAAGCAATCGAACCACCGCTACACGTAAGATTTCAGTTTCTTACATCTGTACAAATGGCACCGACTACATACTTGGGGTTAATCTTCTCCATGGGGATCTTCAGCTGTTCGACGCAGTATGCGAACTGTGACGCGAAGGCTTCATTGATCTAAGGAATGGAGACCTTAAGTGACCCACAGGCGGCAACAGCGACAACGCGGCCTACCTCGTAGACGTCAATATCCTCCTTGGCCAAGCCTGTCTGTTCCAGGATCTTGTTCACGGCCGGAATAGGTGCGATACCCATCACACGGGGCTCCACACCGACGACAATGCTCGTCACCCATTTACCAAGGATGGGCAAGCCTTGCTTCTCAGCACGGGATCTAGTAGTCATGATACAAAGCGCAGCACCGTCGCCAACACCACTGGCATTACCAGCCGTCGTGGACGCCTCGCCCCAGTCAGGGAATACCGGCTTCAGTTTGTATAATGACTCCATGCTTACACCGGGGCGCACAGTATCATCCACAGAAACGACTGCTCCCTTCAGCTCAATAGGGATGATCTCTTCGGAAAAAATACCCTGAGCGACAGCCTACAGACCGTGGATTAGCAACAAGCAAACAGCGTCAATCTAGCCTTGTACCTTTTCCGCTCGCGTGTGCGAGATCAACGCATATTCATCCTGCTTTTGGCGGGATACTCCATACGTCTGCGCCACCATCTCAGAGGTCCATCCCATAGGCTACATGCTCATCTCAGCAGCTGTTCCGTGAGATGGAGGATGCCAAGCTCCTTACCTGAATGCAGTCATGTGCATGTGGGTTCTTCCCTACTGGTTCAGTGATCTCGGGAGTAGGTCGTGGGCTGCCAATGTATGGTCAGATTGTCTTGTCTCGAGACAACGGTATTACCAACTTCTGCGACATGCTTTCGACACCGACTGCAACACCCAGTGAGATGTCGCCGGATTGAATGGCATGTGCAACACTTCTGATCGCCATGAGACCAGATGAGCATAGTCGATTCAGGGTTTGGATGGGAACTGAATAGGGTATTCCAGCAGCCAGGGCGGCGGCGCGAGAGATGTAGAGAGGCGAAGGGGGATGGCAGGTACCTGGACGGCAATAATTAACCAAGCAGCGGAGTTGGCACCAATGACTCAGTCGTACCGACACAGATGTCCTCAATCTTGCTGGGATCGAGTCGCGTAGTCTCGAGCGTGGACTGTTACGTGATCAATGTCGTTCAGTCAGTGTGGCAGTAGCGTAGCAGCTTGGATCCTGTGACTGACTTTAAACAGCCCGTGTAACAGCTCATCGACTGGGATGTCCTTCAACTGGCCCTTCTTAGCACGGGACATAGCAGTACGCTTTGCGAATGTTATGACTACATCGTCAGGACTCTTCTGCAGGATGGCTTCACGACCTCGGGCCCTGGTCGACGCTGCACGCGACAGACGCGGGCTTTGAGAGACGAGACGTCGGGATAACATGTCAGAGTGCTGGTGGGGGTCGAAGGACAGGAATCGGTACAACCTTTGAGCCTTGGTGAGTGTCTATTACCCCAGACTGGTAGCGGGATAAACGGTCATCTGGTCCGCTTGTCCGTCCGTCCCCGATCATTAGCAGCCTGCACGTGCATGTAATTAGGGGCGCCTACTGCTGAGGCTTATAACAGCAGCTAGGTATTCATGCAGACTATTCTCATTGCGAGACGTGTAGATGCAAGGAGTATACTTATATGCCGAGTGGAGCAGGTTCGCAGGCGATCGAGAGACAACTGTAGCCATCGACACATACTACATGGTATATCAACAAGAGCCATAAGCCATGCATAGGGACTTGAGTGGTGAAGACATGCTCCCTGACATATGCGCATCCTCTCGTTGCTACTAGACATGAAATCCTCGCAGGTGGTCCGTGTTGTCCCAACCAGACCAGAGGGAATAACCCTCTGCATCATGCGAGAAGGATGTCCCTCACGCCAGAGACAGTTGGAGGATGAATCTAGATGTCGTGAGCCTTGGATACAGGTGCCAACTGGAGGAATACTTACCACGTCGATCAAACGGGACTGCCGGATATCTAGTAATCATACGTGCATCATGGCTGCTCCTTCATCTGCTGCTTCCAGCTTCTACTGAGCTGCGAGTAGCAATTTGGGCATAGATTATGCGCGAGTTTAGGTGACCCGCATGCGGGGCAGTGCACGAGGTCTATAGACGGAGGTGAGAATGTGAACGGTAATAAGAGGGGAGACAGGGAAGGAGGATTGACGTACTAAGCTTGTCCTTCAGCCCTTTGAGAGCACTGCGCATCCCTTTGCGAGAGTGCGATACCTTCTTTTTAGGAACAGCTAGCAGGAAGGGAGGGAACAGGTCGAGAAGTGATTGCAGCGTAGGTATTGTCCATCGGGGGGACGGAGGTGAAAGCGCAGCAGAGACAAGGGGAATTGATGACAGGAGAGTCCCAAGAAATGAGGCCCTGTGGAGCGAGAATATAGATGAGGTCTGTCGCAATGCCAGGGCAGCCATCGTCCAGCGAAGGAACTGGAGAAATTAAGTGCAAGCAGCAAGACTGTAACCTCAGGACAATTGCCTAATTCGGCGCTCATCAAGTCGCGTCGGAACGCACTCGCTTGTCCCGGGACTGTCATGTTTCGTCTAACTCGACCGCTGTTCCAGCAAGTTCTGAAGTCGACGACGGGGATTACTGGACTTCACGTCCACTCCAATCCACTCCCGGAGCTGGTCAAGACTTACGAAAATACTTTGTCCTTACTCTCTCGAGTTCCCGAGACGGCTGTTTACCGGCAGGGAGCGGAGGCCCTCACGTCACGCAAGCTAAAGATCGTGCAGGGAGTAGACGGGAATATCGAGGAGGCTGAAAAGCAACTTGATGAGGGGCACATCGAAGAGGTTCTAGAGGTCGCGAAAGACGAGGAGAGCCTCGCCACGAAAATGCTGGAGTGGAAACCGTCAGTTCTGTCTGGCCAAGTCGAATGCCTTCCGCTGACATGATGTTAGTTGGGAACCCCTCGAGGAGAAGCCAGAACCTGGACAGTGGCAATACTTTGACAAGGGTTCATCGCCAGATTCATAACGTGCGTGTATGCCAGGGCCCGGCGTGGGCTACTGCTGACATCGCCTACTTGTAGCACGGATGTATATTTCTACGTCAGCAAGGCTGCATGTAATCTTAATGGGTTTGATCCCCTCTGTGGTTTCTAGATCGCCTCCCAAGATCAGGGTAGTTCACTCGTCCCGCAGCAATATTGCGTCCGTATGCGTCCGCGTATAGCTCTAATTGCGCCACAGCAATCGTTAGTGTAGTAGTACTGTCCGATATTAGTAGAGCGATTCTGAGCTGGGGATAGACTCGGAACAGCATAAGTAGAGAATGGAATGAACGTGTCTCGATGACGAGGAAAAACGTTATGCACGGTGGAATATATACGACACCAACAGGGTTCGAACCTGTGCGGGCATAGCCCAAGAGATAATGAGCAGTTCAAATCTCTCGCCTTAACCACTCGGCCATAGTGTCTGGATCCATAGACTCCCCAGTTATATTCAATACTAATCAGGCTTCTCGTCGAAAGTTGAGCCCGAATCCGCGTCGATCAACCGCACCTCATTCCGTTTCTGAAGTTCCTCAATACTGACCATACTCATTATTCGGCCATGGATTCGCTTATACCATTCACAACGTCGGGATCTCTCGTGGATTGCGTGGACAGTACGTCTGCCAACGTCAGCTACACCACCACTCAACAATCCTGAGCCTACCGTGATCCCCCGCCCGACCTGTTCATGTTCGGTCTGGTTAGGAAAGATGATGGTAGTGCTGAGAGACGGTCGAAAATTAATCGGTGTACTGCGGTCGTATGATCAGTTTGGTGAGTACGATGGTCTTGGTGACACTGTACAGACCCTCACACCATGTCGAACTTCTGCTAGCCAACCTGGTGTTGGAGGACACCGTCGAACGCATATACCATGCCGACGTATACGCTGAGAGATGGCAAGGCCTGTATCTCATTCGAGGGGAGAACGTTGTCCTGCTCGGCGAAGTGGTACGTTGTCCTTCGTCTTCGCTTCCCGATAATGACTCAACTTCCTCGCCCCGAATGTAGGATCTTGATCAGGAAGATGACGTGCCCTTGCGCCAGGTTGACTGGACCGTGCTTGAACCGTATCACAAGCAGGACATTGACACGAAGAAGAAAAGGGACGAGTATAAGGCCGGCGTTCTATATGAGCAGAAGGGCTTCTGTAAGGAGGGCGGTGAAGGTGATGGATACTAACGATTTGCCGGATTCTCTTCTGCTCGTTCACTCATTTTTGACATCGATTTGGAGACACCTATATGGCAGATTCATTACGCCTCACTCCATATGTACTATTATAGGATAGGCAATGTCTATTAGAAACACCTAAATGCCAATTATTGCCGCATGAGCCATGCTAGCGTAATTGCAGCAACGGGGCATGCAAACGTACAGCATGTATTGGAAAGAGAAATAATAATACAGGATTTACAAGGCTTCTGCTTTCCTTTTCTTACTCTTCTTGCTGAGCTCTCCATTCGTCCTCGCGACGGTGTTGGAGTGTCCATTGGTCGAAGGTCTAGTGTTCGACGGCTTTAGCGGCAGCGCCGAAGTCAGCTTCCCTCCTTTGGGCTCCAATATATCCTCGATGCGTTTGCGTAGCTCACGCTCCTGGGATGTCAACTTCGCGATGGTAGCTTCCTTTGTCTCTTTGTCGAAATCAGCTTCAGCGATCCGCAGCTTCTGCCAGCTTCATGAACGGCCTAGTGTGTCAACTTACGTGTCATGTTCTCATGATAGAGGCACTCACCCTGCGTGCCGGTCGCATTTCTTCTTGCCCTTGCACCACCATTCCCCATGCTCTGCTATTGGGCCATCAACCTGCATACCACCCTCGACTTCGTGACTCGCATCCTCTTGTGAGTCCTCGTAGCTTTCCAACACGCCAGCACCGAACTCTGCCCACTCGTCGTCGTCAAAGCAGAGCCGCTGATCCCACCCGCACTCATCCACTCTGTCAGCCCTGTCCGACGCGAGCTCGACCAGCTTCTGACGCCAGTTGACGACTTCTGTGTCTTTCTTGAGCTGCTCCCGGGCCTTCATGACTTTGTCAAGTTGTGCTCGAAGGCGTTCTACTTCACGATCATTCTTGACGCTAGAGTCAGTAGCTTCCATAAACGCAGCAGGGTCACTCTTCCACTGGTCAGCGGCATCGGCGCGGACGACAACTCCTTCTCGCCTCTCCGCACTCTTGACATTGTCCCATAGCTGCCGCGTGCTACCTCCCCTAGCTGCCCAGGCATTGATACGACGCCGCATATATTTAACGCCGCACTCATCAGAGCAGTACTTGGACAGAATACCGCGTGCAGGCTTGTGACAGGCACTGGCCGAGGAGGGGTCGGCATGCTGCAGCCCAGCGAAGCAGCGTCGTTTGTAGGTCGTGTGGAGAGGCAAGTGGGGATTGCCTGTGTCATAGGGCGTAGTCAGGTAATGAATGATCACACCGGGACGAGAGACTTACTCTTGACGCATGGCGGGCATATGAATGTGTCAACCAGGTCGACCTCCAGGTCTGACATGTTGAGACATTGTGTATGGTACCACTCGTCACATCTACCGGTAAAGAGAAGTATTAGTTCTGACTCCCGCCTCGAACATAGCAGCAGGCAAGCTTACCGATCACACGCAATCATGACCCTCTCCTCATCATACTTCGTCTTACAGATGCAGTAGAGCTTGTCATCATTAATCTTAGCCGCCTGCTCGTCATCATCCCCTCCGAGCTCCTCGTCTTCCTTCCCTAGTTCTGCTTCCGGAGCAACAGATCCGGGACGACCAGGAAGGACAGAGGTCGACCTAGAACGCACCGCAGATCCAGACTTCGCTCTGCTCTTTGCCCCAGCTGCAGACGGAATAGCTTTCTTACCGCGGGACGGAGCGGGTGATGCTGCCTCCTCATCCTGCAGTGCTTTCACACGAGACTTGGTGGTGGTACCGGAGGGCTTCTTCGGATTCCTTGGCTTTGGAGGCGGCTTCGGCTTGGAAGCAGTCGCAGCCTGGGAACGGACAGGTAGATGCTTTCAGTCAATGACGCAAAGGGACTAAAGCGGGAACATACCTTCTTCTTCGTCGGCGAAGGCACAGGCAAGCCATCAGCGGCTCCTGCTTTAGGAAGTTCCTCTTTCTCAGTGGATGACTTCACTCGGTCCGACGCAGGTATCTTATCCTTGTGGCTGCTCGAAGTACCTACGGTCGAGGGAGGTGGCATTAATTCCCGTTCGGGTAAAGAAGCAGATGGCAGGGTACGTGATGTACTGCGTTTGTGCGTCGGTGAAGGCGCGGGATAATGATCATGAGTGGTACGCGATGCAGGCGAAGGTACGGTTTTACGACGATGAGCATCTGGCGAACCGCGACTAGAGGATAGAGGTTTCTTCTCCTGATGATCGTCCACTAAACTCAGCAGTTCGTCTTCAACGTCCAGGGAATCCGTCGCGGGCGGAGCAGGAGGTTCATCGACAAGTCCAAGGAGGTCTCCGTCGACATCGAGGTCGGGTACAGCAGATGCTTCCCGCTTAACAGGTTCCACTTCGTCCACAGCCTCTTCCAAGACGCGAGTCGGGGTAGACGGACTCGAGTCTTTGGATGGAAATTTCGAGGGAGTTGTGCCAGCTGCTCCAACCAGCTCAGCTGGGACTGGCAGAAACTGGGTAGGCCTGACGTGCGCCGCAGACGCTCCGCGCTCATACGTGGATGTTGGAGAAATACGGGGGGAGGGGAAGGGCGACGCCGATGATCGCGACGATGCGCCATACTGCTCCATCAACCACTCATGCGCATCCTGCTCTCTTTCCGGACCCCCGACCTGCGACCTGATGGAAGACTCAGGCGGTTTTGGAATCGTCTGCAACTCCACATTCATCAGCTCATCCTTTACAGGTGACGCTCGCACTGGCGACAGCCTCTTCAGAACCACAGGATGTTCCTCCAGCTCTTTCGGTGCTGATACGGCCACGGGTGCAACTGCGTCGATAGGCAAGCGGTGTTCATGAGAGACACGAGACTGTGACGTCCCCGAACTTCGACGTCGCTTCCGGGGAGGCTCCGCATTTATGTTGTCCATCGACTCCGGTATCACTGGTGACTGGAGACGGTACGCCTGAGGATACTGAGGCTGGGTAGGCTCTTGGTAAGGTGACCGGTCGGGCGCAGCAGAGCGGTCTGCCACAGGGCTTAGGCTACTCCTTATCGCACTGACTACCCCAGACTCAGAGCCTCCACTCAACCTCCTTCTCTCCTCAGTAGCTGCCTGTACTAGGACATCCAAACCTGATAGCGGCGACTCAACCTGCGCTCTTGAAAAGGAGGGAGACGCCGTCGCTGCATAGGAAGACACGGGTTTAAGTTGGGGCTGTTGAGTCGCGTGAGTCGGGGTGTACGAGTATGGACTCGGTCGAGCATGCTCAGGAAACGCGCTGCTTGAAGTCGGATAGGTCTGGATGGACAAAGGAGCTCGGGTCATTTGTGGTTGGGAGTAGTAGTAGCTAGAAGGTGAAGTATCTTCCAATGACGCGCGGGTCGGCGATGCACCTGACCGGGACTGAATCGTAGTGTACGGGATAACAGGAGAGCGAAGCGGAGATATCTTCAACTGCTCGGGTGACTGTGAATATCGGTATGAAACAACAGGCGAGCGAGAGATGGGCGCGGCTGAAGAGGAGGAACCGGGACGAGAGTGCGATGGGTATGACGGAGTTGGAAAGCTAGCCGAGGGCGCAGGGTAAGAGTATTGGTGGAGATTGTGGGGTGAATAGTGATGTACTTCTTCGCGGATATACGGTACAGATTCGAAAGGACGAGTTGTTGAGTTCGTAGAGCGTGCCAGTCTATGTGCCTCCCACTCTCCATCCGCGTGCTCTGCGCTGTAACCCTGTTGCACCGACCTCCTTTCTGACGTAGGCGAAACAAGTACCGGGGTGTCAGCCATGGAGGGCGAGGCAGGACCGACAAAATGCCTAAGGGCGGCCGATTGTGTACGCGACGAGCCCGGAAGATGGCCAGAGGGAAGATCGCGGGGAGAATTGAGATAGGGAAAGGCATTTCCGGCGTGCTCCAGTGCATCTTGGCTACTTGTGAAGTACTGAGAATGATCAGTGCGAACCTGTGGAGGATGGGCGGGAGGACTGTCAGAGCCTGGACGCGGTGCCGACGGGAATGGGTGGGAAGGAGAGCTGGATGCTGGCGGTGGTGTGGCGGAAGGGCCCTCGTCGCAGAGGAAGGATATTGCGAGCCTGCGAGAGGCCATGGCTACTCGTCGTTGGTCGTGGCGGCGGCGGCGTTGAGAGAGTCTGCTGGCTGTGCGAGACGCGTGCTTCGACTGGAAAAGGGGCGATTAGGGTCGTCAACTCCGCTCCGCACCTTCTCGTTTGACCTTTCTCAGCCTTCCACAGCTTCCACAACTGTCTCACTGCGAACGCGCTTGGGCCTCTGGCTT